ACTATTACCATTATCTTTTCAAAATTAAAGTACAACTCAAGTAATGCGTAGATGAGGAAGATTGATCTCTTTTCCAATATTTTTCTATGCTTTAACAACGAACGACACTTCTGGTTAGAAAATTAATCGCAACCCGAAGAATCACCTGCTTAGGGTAATTTCGTAGCACTATTGACGTAAAGTTCCACGAATACGGCGCAGTAACTAATCGTGGTTAATAGACTCGTGATTTAATCGCGTTAACCAACGATATATTAAGTATGGAAAAGAACTAAGGAATACATTAACTTCAAGGACAATGTCCAGGTGTGCACGACGACCAGTTATAGCATTCGAACGTGGTTTACTTCGTTACTCGTTGTTTACATAGGGTGTTTTAGGCTTGGTGCACATTTCATTGCGATTTCACAGCGGTGACGCTGCGCGATTAGGCACGCGGAATACATTTCCTTTTTCCAAGCTCTTCTTGTGTAAGGAATTTTCCGCTGTAACTTCTTAATTATGCGGAATAAAAAAAATGCCTTAGATACGTTAACACTTTAAGCGCCGGACCCGCTTTAACCCTCATCCGTCAGGTGTCAATTTGACACAACGGTAAAAAATCAATTAATTTTGTAAATTATTTTATTAAATATAGAAAATAAAGAAGAATTTTTTTCTACAAATAGCCGAATAATACAATTTTTTTACCGGAAAAGTGTGTCAAATTGACACGAAGGACGGATGAGGGTTAACCCTCTTAGTATCATGGTCCTGCCAGAAATACCCGGATAAATATGCGGTTTCGAAGACATTTATTAAAGTTATCATATCTTTCTTAAAAATGAAGATGAATCTCCACTTTTTTTTATTTTATGAGAAAATCTATGTAGTTTTACATAAAAGATAGAAAAAAATTATTTGTGAAAACAGTTATATTTTATGAAATACAACAACGTATACATTTTTTGAATAAAATATGTGGAGTAATATGTGGACCAGCGATTAAGCGCCTGTCCCGCCTAAATGCGTTTCTACATGTTTGCGCAGAAAAAGATATTGTATCTCTTGAACAGCAAGTGGCTGAATATTTACATCGTTAAAAATCGTGGCTGTGCCTGCAATAAGCGCTATGTCAAATTTTCTGTTTTACAGGAGTTACTTTATTTTATTTTGTAAAAGTGCGTGTTTCTACAAATCTCGTAAATATTGCGGCGCTTTAGGTAAAGTTTCCAACAAAACTTTAAGGGGTTAGGACACAGTAACAAGTGGGTAAAATATAAGATTTTTAAGCGACAGTACAGCAAAAAGTGAATAATCGATTAATATAAAATTTTGTATTTCAATTTACTATACTATGAGCTATAAAAAAATGCTTGTAATATTTACAAAATAATTTGTTCTTATGCCTTTCGTCGTCTTCGCTCGGAATATCTTTTCTTCCAGATGGCCAACTGGTATACAGAATTTCTACAAATCGAATTAACTATATCCAGAATCCCAAAAATGTCATAAACTGTGGTATATTCTCTAGGCATTGACGATCCCACGTTTCAATTTTTCTGAAAATTAACAAAATGGCAGATATTTTAAATTTAACGATTGAATTTCGATAAAAAGTTTGTTACTTTTTTATTTATATTTCACGAAATAATGGGAAAACGTAAAAAAGTCGATCGTCACTGCCTAATAGATGTCATAGTAAAGGTAACTGTAAAATTTTTTTGTAATTGCTAAGGTAGAACTCGAGATATCTTTTACACCGTTTTGAAAAACGCATCGGTGCGTCACGGCACGCAGGTACATATACGAATTCACTCTCGAAACGGTACTTAGAGAAATAATTTGCATCGAAGCCTGGAATCCATGTAAAACCTTTTGCATACTGCTCTCAAGACTTGAAACTACCATTTAAGATAGAAAAAAAATTTCGATTTCTTCTAAATATTACCGTCTCCTAACCCCTTAAGTGCTAATATATCGGGTGGTTCGGAAAGTTCGTAGCAAAATGTAGGAAAAATTCAATCGAGATAGCGACAAAATGCAAAAGGTACCTTTTACTCGTTATTCGAAGATAAATCCAACGTTTACTGAAAATTACTCCCAAAGCTAAAAAAAAGTTACCAGGAAAAATTCGACATTCAGGCTCCACTGCAAAAAATATAATTCGACTTATATCCACCTCTGTTCGTCTTATCAATAATTTGAGTAGTGCGTCGGATTCGTCTTCCACTGTCGAGAAAAATACTGAGTACCGATACAAAATAACGTCCATACGGCAGGTAATTTTGCCTGAAGTGTCGCCAAGTGTGTATTTGCAATTTGTAAACATCGACGCTTCGTAAAAATAATAAGAATTCGGTGTAACTAGGTTTTCATCTGAAAATTAATCGTTACAACGTGAAAACCCGTGAATTTCTTACAGTTGGCTCTGATAATTTGATCACCCACCTTTTCGTTGCCGAATTGCACAATATCACCGCTTCGGAATCGTAACGACTTCCCATCGATCTTCTGTACTTATCTGAACTTTAGCCGAAGGAAATCCTCTGCAAGTGAATACACCGCGTGCCACCCGAAACACGCGCAACTTCTGCAGAACTCGCCTTTTTTGTCACCGGGCTATGGGGCTATGTATCACTGTCACTTTGCGTGTAATGTGTGACAACTCTGAACTGATGTCGGTCAATGGTTAATGACGTCATAAGTCTCGTACGCTGAACACGTTCACAGGATGTAGCCATACATTTCGCTCGTATCCTCGGTTTCCTTCATTTCTTTTTTTCCCCCCCGTCTGCGGTTTATTCAGAAAGTTGCATCAAGACGTACGAGAATCCGATTCAGAGAATCGTAGAAGCAACAATTTTGAGCGGGAAAAGAGACGCGTTTACTAAAAAAAAAAAAATTGTTACTTTAATATTTAAAAAAGAAATCCAAATTTCTTTGCGTTCTTTATTTTGTTGCAAACAGAATTTGCAACGAAAAAATCGGAAAAAATTCCCTGACATGCCGCCCTCGTATATGCAATGCGCCAGATTTTTTTCAAAATTTTTGCATACCTCTAAATAAAGAAAGTAAAGTAGAAACCGTATTTAATTCGTATTTTCCGTATTTTGCGATAATCCGTACTTTCCCTGTAACTATAGAGGGTCGAAATTTGGTATCAAATCTTTTCTTTTATCAAGCTATCGAATGGTCCATCGCAAGGATAATTTGGTTTAACACTCTGCGAATCAGATGAATAAAAATCGCGCCCTGAACCACGTGCGGTTAATTTGCCCTCAACGTTATCCATCTGCGAATATATTTGAGTAAAAATACACTTTAAAATGATGTTTCCTCATGTTTGTAATGACGGATCCAAATAAAGCAAGAATTTATTTAGTTTTAAAAGCACTGCTGTTAACTTAATTGCACTTGGTTCACGAAAAATTAAGGACACGCTTGTCTCCCTTATTTTACTATACAACGGAAGAATTAGAGGAACGAGATTCGCTTTAACGGCAGTAAATTCGATGTAGTCTATCTTGCTGTTACATTTCGGAACGCAGAATACGGATAATTATAATTACAATTAGTTCGTTCTATTTATCAATTATACGTAAATAGGGTTTGCCTGTGTGTAACTTTCAGCAATTATAAATAATTGGGATTCATTTGCATGTTAAATTGTGGCGATAAGTAATTTGGATAGAATAATTATTTTATGCCGTCCATAGGAAATCTCATCAAAGATTATCTCTTATCTGGATCGAGCAATGAAGACAGAAAAATTGTTATTTAAATTTTGCGATTGTGGATAGTAGCCGTTTCGAGGTTATTATTTTATTGAACAGCGTCTTCTAGAAATCTCTACTTTTCCATTTACTAATTTCTAAATCTTCAGCCACGTTTTAAGAACGACATGACGTAACCTGTGTTGATCAATTCTTTGAAGAGATAATTTATTACTCTATTATGCAATTATGCAGTATTGTTCTATGATTCAACAGCCGTACATTATATAGTATATTACAAAATTGTGACGCAATGCGGTAAAATTTACATTTACAGTTAAATAAAAGTTGTTTCACGCGAATCCTACTTTCTTCTGTCCATTAGGAAGTGTAATGATAAAGTCAATTAATACAGCATCAAAGGATAATGAATGGTTAAGAAGATGAGGAAACCGAGAAAGCAACGAAAAAATTAAAAAGACAGTAATTTAATTGAAATACCTTAACACTTATTCTATGGTCAATCTTAATTAATTATAATATTAAAAGTTAATGATAAACGGGTAACAAAGAAATATTACAATACAATTAGTGTAACATACTCTAAGATTCAAAAGCTATTTTTAATTTTTATCTTTTCATTTTTCATTTTCGTGCGAAAAAAAAAACAAGTTTGGTAAGGTGACGAGGAAACTATTAAGTATACAAATTAATTCGATGCCATTGTTCGAAAAATCTTGACACGACTTTATATTGTCTCGGAAGAAAAATTTGTCAGCTGTCTGATAAAACGGTTAAGTCGTTGAAAATAATGGAGACTACTTTAGACGGTAAAATTCTGTTTAGTTTTTTATATATACACGTTGAGGTTTGTGAAAAACGACATCGAATTAATTTGCACACCCAATATACACAAATCTCATAAGAGAAGGAATTCAAAAAAAAGAAAAAACGAAGAAAAAAGACGCAAGTTTAACTTAAATACCTAAACATTTATTCTTCAATGTAAACCAACGTACTTAATACAAATGTTACACTATCTGTCGGTATTATCGGCATCAGATCGCAAGGTTCACGTTGTACCTAACCTTAAATGTAAACGTCAAATGATTTCGCGTTACAATTATCAAACGATTCGTGTAAATGGTAAATTTTCGTTAAATTTCGACGATGAAAATGAGAAAATTAGATAAAACGATTTGATAAGGATAAACTGTGTCGCGATGAGTTTCGTAGCTTTGATACTCCACTCACCGTCGCGTCAATTATGTTCTATTTCTACTGCGCGATTCACGTGACGCTCAATCAGTGCGTCTCGTCTTGCTCGGGATGCGCCGCTATGTATTCCAGAGCTTTCAGAATTCCTTCTGGTATCGGATGCGGTGTTGGAAGATGTTCACCCTTTGGCTGGAAACCATTCTCGTCGGCAACGTAGCTCAAAGCAACCGGTGATCCGTCAGCAACAGAATAACTGTACGATCCTTGAACGGCAACCACTGAATGTGTTTCATTCACTTGCTTCAGTTGACCATGTTCCTCTGCCTTGATGCCATTCCCTGCCTCGTAGCTGAACGAGTACGAACCGTCTGGATTAGGTCCGTCCGCAGTGTAAGCAACAATAGGCACCGATGTGTTATTTACCGGCACTGCCGATGCAGAAGCCACGACAATAGCGAGGAAGACACAAGCCTGGAATAGAGTTTTTTTTTTATCTGCGTTTTAGGTTACACGAGACGTATAATTGTTAAACGATACGATGATACAAAAAGAAAGAAAAAATCATACGCGCTTTTCTATCGTACTACGCACGCTGTCATTTTTACGTGCGATCTGAAGGCGCTGTCGATGTACGCCTATGTTCAAGTAATAAGAGTCGTGCCGCGCACCCGCACTGCGTGCATCTTACCGCGCGAGAATTTAAATGAGTCTTAACGCTAATTATGTAAAATCCGTTTTTTCATTAATTTAGTAATGAAGAAATATAAACTAAATGCGCTTGGTAGATAGTAATATGTTGTGTTATTCGTTTTGATAATTATATATGAGATGAGTTCTTATTGCTGATTTGTATGATAGGCGATTGGTTGCCACTGGATTTAACAATTTTTTAGTGTCTGAGGGTTTATAATATCTTATCGAGTTATAGTAATTTATAGAATACTAAAAATTCATAGCTGAATATATCATGTATACGAAAGATAAAATAATATGGGAAGAGTATATGACTTTTGTGCACAATAAGGTAATAAAATTAAAATGTTCCGTACTAACATTTTTCCATCGGATAAAATAAATGAAATAATTCAAAAATATAATATCCACCGTAATAAAAGTATAGTCTTTCTCATGCTATTATAACAGCTAATCTACTAAACAAAAAAATTCTATTCAATCAATTTCATGTCTACCATAACCCAACAAACGACAATCTCCCTTAAAAAAAAAAATTATAAACACTGATATTACCTCAATATCCACTATCTATATTAAATTTACGAATATTAACGCGTCGAATATTTTTCAATTATTAACTCATTGTAGCTACGAAACACTTTACAAGACAAAGATGGCAAAAATTTGGAAAGTCTTAAAATAAGCTAACACGATATTAGCAATAGTCTGTCACCCAGCCACTTGATGGCAAAACTCACCAAAGTGTTCATGTTGATCTGAGTTGTTTTCAGGTTGTAAAGAGCAAGTCTAACGGACGCGTTTATATAGCACTGCCGAAACCTTGCAAGGTGCGAGGACCTCTCTCTCATTGATAGATTTCTGGCCAAGACTTAGACACCGGTAGGCATTACGAAATTTTCAGAGGAGGGTCTAATAGAGGGGCACGCAGAGTACTGACCACAGTACAGACGCGCGACGTCTCGTCAACGTATAACACCGTGTCCCTGCGAAATGTTCATGAGATTTTTTGGAAAAAATCGTATTTGCATCGGCTTGAAAATTCGCGGTTTGAAGAAAGCCTCCACCAACCATGTTACGTGAGTATAATTTAAATGTTTAAGTTAAATAAAAAGAAAAATGCTTTAGAATTTCATAGAGGCACTTCAGAAGGTTACACTTTGAAGATGTTCATGATGTTTCGATTTTTCAATTTTCTTTACAAATCATTTCTTCTTTTTTCCAATTGCGATTATCGTTTATTGGGAATGTTTGCAAAAGAAATTGAAGAAACTGCGATTTATCGAATATAGTTTTTTTTTTGTCATTTCTTTTTTGTGTTTACTAGATTAGCTTTTAGCATGAGAGAGATCATGTAATGAAAATGATAAGACTGCAACGTTATTTTCTAACGTTCTAGCTTCTTGTAAGCATACTGTAAAAGAAAGGGTTTTCTTGAGGAAGCTGTTATGCTATAGTTGCGCACCGTTTTTGTTTCAAACTTGTGTTTTTGTAGTAACTATAATAGGGATTTTACGATTTAGATAAGATGAGAATGAAATTTAGTTTTGCTTCATTAATTGGTGACCGTTAATATTGAATGCATGGTATAATAATTATTCTGCTACTATGTCGTCGTTTTTAAGCTTTATTTGACAATCTTTTGATCTTGACATTACATTTTGTAGTTTTGAACTTGCAAAGATTTTATTTTAAAATAAAATCTCTACTGTTAAAGGATTAATTCGACAATTTATTTATGATAGAAACACTGAAGTTAGAGGAGAGAATTAATGCTGTTTACTACCACTAACAAACTTTTATTCGTTCAAAACTAATTCTGAAAACACAGTGAATGAGCTACAGAAAATATTAAACACAGGAGTGTTATTAAACATGTACTAATTTTGTCTCCAAATACTTTCAAACAATTCATTTACAGAGATTCATTTCTGTAACTATTCTACATTTTATTTGGGAATCATTTATTCCTTATTTCACACGTTCAGGCTATTACTCATCATTTGTACATTTGACAAAAAGTGCATGTTTTACAATTCGCTATAAATGAAAAATATAAGAAAATATAGTGGGCCGAATGTCATACTTTTAAATGTGTTTTAAGGTACGCACTCGTACGTAACGGGAATCTGCAAAAGGTCTACCAAATATGGAATTCATTTTCGATGCTTCCATTGACCTGGTGATCCTTTTGTGCGAATTTTCGTATTTCGCGACCATTATAAATTCAGCCGTGTAACAAATCTCTGGAGCCTTGGCCACAGCACGAGAACCGAATACATAAGTTAATCTATCTTCACGACGTGAGAGCATTACTGCCAAATTTTCTTTTCTGTAGGAAGCATAATACCGCCGACAATTTCTCCGCATCACGGTGTTATGATATTTAGTTATCCTGGAACCTATTTTAACAGCAATTTCTTCTCTTTCTTATGTAATATTGTTTTGTTTCGATCCAACGTTTCTGTTTCTTTGTTTTTTTCCCGTTTATGAAAATTTATGGACGACGTATGTATATTACAATATTTTTCATTATTTATACATAATATATTTTCGGTCGTATTTAATAACTGTGCATCTTTACCTTTTTTTTAAATCTAATTTCATTTAATTCGTCTTTGTTTGATTACAAATATCAAATCAATAATCATTTATGTTTCTATCGTATTTTAATTATGTGATATTACATTTCATTCAATATGGCAGAATGTTAAACACTTTGATAAGGAGTCAATTCTTTCCATACATCTTTATCTATTGACGATGGTATCTATCCTGTACACGGAATGCTAATATAGCAGCTTCGTTTTGCCATTTCACATTTTTATAATTCATAACTAAAGGGGTTTTTTTTTTGTTGAAAATCAATTATCTTTTTTGTGAATTTATATTCAGCTTTTTTTTTTCTTTCCATAATATGCTTATATTGAAAACGCTGTATGTGTAACGATGAGGTTGCTTTGAAGCAGAAACTTAGTCCCCTTGAAAAAGTAGGCTTAATAATATTTCCTTTCCCTTTTTCCTTCAAATAAAACTTAGAAAAGCCGAGGTTGACTTTTTGAAAGACCCCCTGGGAATCGAACTCCCGACCCTTCGGTTAAGAAGCCGGGACTCTGCGCGCTACACCACCGCACCCTCCCTATTTTTCCCTGTTCTTACTCTTGTAGTTGTGCATAGAGGTCTCGATCTCACAAAATTTCATTTTAAACAAACTTTGAAAAAGAATTGAACAAACCTGGAATAGTTAAAAATAGTTACCTAAACAAAATGTCAACGGTCAACGTACTCTTACTGCGAGCAAATACAAAAACAGAACTTTCATGTTTCTCATAACTACTCGTAGGAAATGTAGTGACATTCTTGAATTGTTTGCTTTTCAAATTTCGCCGTTAAACGGCGAAACTTCATATTGCTTTCACATTACGCCTACGTTGCGTAGAAGTGCGTGACGTAATATGGTTCTGTAAATTGACAATAAATCTTTTTACGGAAAAGAGAAGATAAACTTACAGGTGTGTAACAGATATTGCGAATTTTTGTGCATGTGGTCGGTATAATTGAGATCCAACACGATTTTGTTGAAAAATAATGCAAAATGGAATCGAAAATGTCCCTTTCAGGGACACAGAGAATGTTTAGAATCTTCTCTGCACAATCGAAAGTAATACATCTCTATAGGATTCTAGCTAAGTAACGTCAATTATGGACAAAATGCAATTTCGTATATCATTGTTAAAATCAATAATTTTTTCCGTTCCCGCCAAAGATTCGTTCGTAGGTTAGTTTTGCTTGTTTTCGTTTGAGCGACGCTTTTTTGCTTCCTCGTTACGAGAGATACAGTGAACGGTCCAAGTGGATACGGAGAAATATCCTTTTGAGTCATCTACCAGTTTCTGCGTATGATTATTCGCCAATCTTCGTTTTACCGTCGGTAAGATAGATTGTTAAAATTTTCGTTGCGAATAATAAAAATCTGTGTAAAAGTAAAAACGGGAATATTTTATAAAATTTCGTAACTTTCATTTTTATGTTATGAAAGAGCATAATTTTAGAAGCATCTAATTCTGTTGACGCAATGAGAAATCAAGTATAAATTTAACGATATATTCAATTCTAGCTTACGAAAATTTTGCACAATTTAATATTCTGTATGATATATTCAGCTTGTTGAAGAAAATAATTATCCCTTACATCATCCATATAATAAAGAATAGTAATATTTCCATCTAGTTTATTAAAGCAAACATTGTTCTGCTCGGAACAACATATCTTATACCTATACAGGGTGTCTTTTTCAACCGAATACCCCAGAATATCTCATAAATCGTTAAAGATATGAAAATATTGTTGTTATGGGAGTTGTTTGGTATGGAAGAAGACAGTGTGCGATATAAATATTTTTTTTTTTAGATAGAGTAGTGGGGGAGATCATGTTACAGACTCGACTAAACCACCTAGTATCTGCTAAATTATTTGTCCCCTATATCATTTCACGTGTGACTTTATTGAAGAATTTGTGAAATAAAACAATCAAGGTTTCTCGAACTTTAGCGTGAAATACATTGTAAGTGATAGTTAATATTGTGGAATCTAGGTCTTCATACCGAACCGATACCCATATAGGAGCAAAAACGAACTGGTACATAGAGGGCGCGTTAGCGCAGTGGGTAAAGTCCCTGCTTGTCAATCGGAAGTCCTGGGTTCGATTCCCGTGTGTTTTTAAATTTCAAATTTTTCTTTGGCTCTTATAATATCAACATCAGTTGTACGTCAATATAAATTACGATTGAATTCGTGTCTCAATTTACTCTCTACTATTTGTAGAAAAAAATACTACCATGTAAGGCCGTTTTTGTGCGTACAGTGACCATCATCCCATTCGGTACATCAGCCCAGAAAATATTGCAGTATTTCATTTACCACAAACAGTTATGATCATAACTGCGCGCTTTACAAATCACCAATCTGAACAAATTTTCATAGTTAAATTCTTACTTTACTATGTATTGTATGTATAATAGTAAAGCACGATATTTTCCAAGAGACTGTATAGTAAGTGTAAAGTACAGTTAGTGCAATTAAATTTCTTCTTGTACCTCTGCAAGCACAGATTTTTCAATGTCTATTGTAACTGCTGCAAGATATTAATGTTAAATTAATCGATGTATGAAAATAAGTATGGAAGTATTTGTACGGCATAGTGAGCGTTATTTGAATATAATTACGCGGATAAATCGCATACGTGTGATTTACTATAGTGCACTTTTTCGCACTAAAAGTTCGATTTTGTCTGTGCAAAAAAATTTTATGATCCAACTCATACACATGGTTGCAAAGAACTCTTAAAATCTATTTGAGTATCATCGCAAAATTAAGAGTGGTGCGGGTAAATATTGAAAAAAATGTTTTTCGAAAATTCTTTATCTTTCTAGCAACGCAGGACATAAAAGTCCACCCAATTTTGAGTTTAACTATTTTCTCCATTTTTCGCACCTTTTCGTAAATATTCACGGTAGTACGAAAACTCGCAATTTCTTTGAGGTTAGGTTAGGTTATCGATGTTTTCGCTAACCGTTCCATTGTCGAAACAGAACCACGGTTTCGTTATTAACGTCACTCGAGCTACATTTCCGCAAAGTTGCAGATATTTTTAAATTTTCAGGTTGCCGAACTTCCCGTGTAACTGAAATTCACATCGGTATATCATAATCGAAACAAAATAACGAGAACGAATTTATCTCGAATTTATCTCCGGCAATTTCTTCTCGCTTTTCTCAATGACATCCACGCAGTTCTTTATTGCGCACCTACAATCGTATTTCCAATAATAAAAGTTGCATAACTCGTGAGAAGAAAAAGTTCATTCTGAGTCGGTGTTATATCACGAACATTTTCAGAACGGAGTGTGCCGGTAAAAACTGATAAAGGAATCGGGAGATACAATTCTTCATTGTCGCGAAGCTACGATAAAAGTGAGGGCTCTCGTTGGCCGAAAGGTGGATCCGTGAAGTGTACGTAGGTGATAAATTATCATAACTCGTCGTATGGCGGTTCCTTAATCGTTGGCTACGTAACTTTCGTTGATCCAGCTAAAGGGAAGGTTTGGCTCATCCACCTTGTGAAAGTAAAAAAATACCGTGCAATATTTAGGTTAGCGAGATGACCTCCGTCGAACAAATTATGGTTCTGTTTTCTTCATCTTCGTCTCCTTTAGCCTGCTCTTTCTTTCATCGTCGCGTGCTGGTAAACGGGACCTACTTCGAGTACGTACGAAGCCGGAAAGAATCAAAGTGCAAGGGAGTGCCGAAGGCACTTTAATTATCATATCTCATAAATTGTCTCGACGACGACGAGCGTATTTATTAGTAATCGGCGAACGCGTACCAGGCCACGCATACGAGTGGCCGTTTTAATAATTCTGTAATTTGCCCGGTATAACTCGCCCTGTCGAACATGCGCTCCTTCTTTCTCCTCCTTCTGCTTATTATGTGTTAAACATACCGAAATTACTTTCACCACGGTGCACACCGTTTTTAATTGGAATAATTAATAACGAGATGTAACTAATGAGCGATTGATTTGTGATGCCATACTTCATACACTTTATACCCTATACTTTGGGATGTTTTTTTTTAGATCTAGCCAAATTTTGCGCAGAGAGCCGTGTAAATTTGTTACTGTAGCCTTGTATCTGTAACATATATAATAGTAATCATTTTTCTTACGTTCAAATAATAATTACTCGAATCATTGTCGTTTCTTCTTTTTTAAATTATTATTTATTTACAAATTATATTCAAGCGATAACAATAAGAATAAAATTTGTAACTTCGTATAGTCTAATTTCTCATATTTTATTTTATCAAAAAAAAAAGATAAAAATGACAATGTGATTGCATTGTTTGTTCAAGTATCATTTAAAATTATTTTGTTATTGTTCTGATAAGATATAGGTATTAGCTTAATATTTCTCCAAAGATTAATATTCATTGTAACGCTTTGTCATTGGTCAAACTTTGAAATGGTTCAAGGAATGGCTGTTACATAAAGTTCGTTTTTGTATCTGTTCCGGAGAACCGGTATTATATAAGTCTTACGGCTGAAAAGATTTCGGTTTAGTTCAGATTCTGCTACCTTCAAAATCAATTCCTTAACCGATTCAGGTGTCGTTTATGAAAGAATGGTAACAAATTCATATTGACATGTGATATCGGCATTTCTTTGTATCAAGGGAACAACAAAATGAAACAATTCGTTATACTATTATTTATTCACGTGATAAGATGTATGCGAAGCTCGACAGTTTAATTTCA